ACATTAGTCTGCATTGGTGGTGAAATCTATAATCAAAGGATAAAAATTTTCTGGAGCCTTTAATATCCAGTGAAAGCAAAAATGAGGGAATTCACCGTGTTTATGATCTATAATACATTAACTGCTTATCTCTTTTCTGAATTCATTCTTCGGCATCTTATGTGTAGTTATCATTAAAACCATCTTGCTGCTTTTCATTGTACAGAATATATTCATTAGTTATGGTTTAGCAGGTTTTTCACTCCTGTTTTGGTGTTTTGGCTCCCCCTTATGGTATCAAGAGAATTGTCTTGCTGTAAAATCTCTTTTCGAGCTGCTTTTTACAACCAGAGCTATTAGATGGAGCTATTGCCTTACCGTGCTATGTTAGCAAACCCAATGGCTCTTGCACTTAGTTGTGGGGTAGTTGTTTGTTTGCTGTTGGTTTGTTGTTGTTTTTTTTAATCAGTAAGCATAATGATATGGTTTTGTAACACAAAATGTTAATTTGCCTAATCAAAAAACCCACACATGCTATACATGTATGGTGGGTATATAAATATACTTTTAGTCTCGTAGCCAAGATTCAAGCTCTCCTGTTGGGTTTGTGTTGGGAGGAATGGATTTAAAATCAAAAGACTGTTGAGGAGGATTGTAAATCACTCAAGCAACCTCAAGCAGTTGGGAATTACTCTTGATAAGCCTCTGTGAAGAGCAGGCCAGTGATCCTCCTGCATGGGTCATCTCCACTTGTGTGCTTCTGCCCGTGTGCTGCTTTGGGGTTCCCCTGGTTCCCCTGGGCAGAAAGTACTCTGGTTAGAAAGGTAACGGGAATAAATTTATTCTTTTTGTTCTCAGAGTTTGTGGTTGTTCTGGGTGCCTGCCTGTGCTGACTGACACAGTTTGAAACAACACCAAGAACATCTTCAAAACTAAAGTAACTTAAAGAATGAAATAGGTGTCTGTCCCACCAGAAATGAGGCATATGTGATGCTTAATAAACACGAGTCAGGGTTCTCACGTTGCAGTATTTAAAATCCTTCTTCTCTTTTTTTTACTGTATGGATTTCAAGTATTTGTGTATGTTTAATTCCATCATGTTGTTATTTTGTCATTCAGTCCCACAAAGTCCTGGTACAATTCTTCTGACAGACCACATTCTTACTAGTCTGTTTAACTTAGAATCATCAGCAAGGTTGCTCATCTCCCTCTTCTCAGGGTTACCCTTTTTTTGCACAGGGTTACGTTTAGGAATGTACTGGATTGCCCAGGTCTGAGCACTGATCTCTGCAGAACTGTAGTGGCAACTTTCCTCCATTGCAGAAGTTAACCATTAACTCATACTCCCCTCTCCCATTTCCTATCTGTTAATTATTTATCAGACTTTGCTCTTAAGTGATTCTTTTAGGCTTAGGACTTCTCTTAAGGCTTAAGGTTTCTTTTAAAAGCCTTTAGGAGACTTGGTGGGAAGTCTTTTGGAAATCCCACAGACTGTATTAACTAGATCCTCATTCCTTACCGATTTCTTTAAAGTGTTATCAACAAACTCTAAAGGCTTTCAAGCTTTTCCCAGCTTAAATAAACAAACCCAAAGTTTGCAGTGCATTTAAAAAATTGTGTAAAATGAGGCAATCCATTAGCAGGTGATTACTGTGTATGGTATGTAATCCACAAAACACTGTTCAGACATCTGGGCCCCCTTTGCTACGTTAATTACTTGTAATAAAAATCTTTATGCCTTAACTAAGGCTTTACTGTCTGGATTAATTAATTTTTCAGGATATGTAATAATAAATACATAGCTGATGGACTGTAGGGAATAATTATTCTTTGAAGGCAGTCTGTAAATGTGGATATGTAAATATAAAAATGAAAATGTGTCAAACACTTCAAATATATACAAACTCTTTCAGTATCCAAAATAGTGCAAACATAAACAGGACCACTTAACTAAACATATGATTTATTTTTCAGTGTCTTTAATTCCATATACGTAGCAATCTACCCAATATCATACTGGTGTTCATTTTTCTCAGGTCAGATTTATTTTATCAAAGATGTTGGGAAGCTAATAATAAAGATATTTTGGGAGGTAAGCTTGACATTTACTTTCTTTAAGAACACCTTCTTTTTCATTAAATTAAGGAAAATAATACAGGAACATCTTTAGTGTACAAGTGTAACGTGACATCTTTCCTCACTTGCAGCCTTATTATTTGGCTCTTAAAACTTTTTTCAGTTCAAATCTACATAGAATTACAATGTTAGTAGCAACATTTTAACTATGATCTTGTTTTTTAATCCTTGTATAGCTTTCTCTTCCATTGAGACCTAGGCATCATCCGACCTAGGCATAGGTCTGTTTGTTCAGTGTGTGATCTGGATAAAATCTTTGGGTTTTGGAAATTAAAATATTTAAGTGAGAATAAAATTGTCAGCCAAGGTCAACCCACCACACTAGTCTGTGCAAAAATGTTTATAACCTTACAAAGAATTATAGAGTTCCTTATGCCATAAATTTTGTCTGCAGCATACATTTAAATACTAAATCTTTTGTATCTGCATTAATAAGTTGGGTGTATTCCATTCCATTTTATCTGAGAGTAAGTTTCATATAATCTGTGGATTCTCATTGGGTTCTCATGTACTGTTGAGTTTTGGGCAGAAATACCTGCAACTGGAAGATGTGCACAGAGCTACAAAAGATAATACTGATGGTAGTGATGTAAGAAAAGAATGTGTAAGGCTTGAGTTAATGGTGTTGAATAGGGCTTAATACTGGCAGAAATTTTGAAATGAATTGAGCATCAATGAAGGGGAAGACGTGAGGACAGCCTTTTGTGTTTGTTTTGATTTTTTTCCCATGGTAATTTCCCATTGCTACATTAACGTTACAGGTCAAAGTTTGAAACATTTACTGATAAAGATCCCGGAGTGGCAGACTTAACTGCTACTTAGCCTGCTGATGTGACTGCTACAGGTATGATTGTACTGATGGAGAAAGGCGAAATGAATTACTTTCAGCCAATGGACTGGAAACGAGCATCCTTGCACTCAGCCTCTGCATGCTGCATCTAAAGCAATCGTGGAGGAAGATGAATTAAAAACAGAGGAACAGGAGACTCAGTGAATATAACAAAATATCAGCCATTAACTCACCAGAACAGATTAATATGCTAGAACTGGCTTTGCTAAAGAGAGTGTGTTCTGCACAGAAGTACTGCCATACCTATGTAGGTGGGCTAGAAGGCCAAGTCAGCTTCAAGGCAAGTTTCCTCAGCTTCCTCTTAACTTTGCCAGGATCAGACCTGAGCTGAATAAGAAGTCATAGGCCTGTTCTGAGCCATAAGAGTTACCCATATATATAAAAAGAGGAAACAATAAATTAAGACTAATACAGTTAGAAAGAGACTGCAGCTAGTGTTGCTCTTTAACACATTTTTATTTACTTTGCATTTGTACAGTGTGTTACTAGAGTCCACACTTGATAAGTTGTGAGCATTTGAAGGTTTTATTAAAATTTATACCTTAAAAAAAATCACTATTTGGAAGTTTAAGCCCTCTGAAAAAAGAGATTGAAGTGTAATGTAAAAAATTTGATAGCCCATACTGACAATGTAAGCAAAACTCCCACTGCGTTAATGCTGTTTTGTACTCAGCCGCAGATATTTGAGGTGAATGTAAAACACCCTTCGTGTTCTGCAGAAGACAACGGCGCAGCACACAGGATTTCTCCTTCATCTCCTGAGTCTGACAAATGGTGGGAAAACAGCAGTGTTGGCTTGTCTGAAGAGACTGCTCGGCTCCTTGTGGTTCCTCATCACCGGGCCGGCTCCGCACCCGGTGCTGCCCGAGCACCAGCACATGCTGGGGGCTGACCTGCTGCAGAAGTGCTCTGTGGAGAAGGACCTGGGGTCCTGGTGGACAACAAGCTGTCCATGAGCCAGCAGTGTGCCTTGTGGCCAACAAGGCCAATGTTATACTGGGATGCATTAGGACGAGTGTTGCCAGCAGGGAGAGGGAGATGATCCTGCCCCTCTGCGCAGCCCTGGTGAGGCACATCTGGAGTGTTGTGTCAAGTTCTGGGCTCCTCAGTAAAAAAGAGACAAGAAACTACCAGAACGGGTCCAGTGGAGGGCTAGAAACATGATGAGGGGACAGAAGCATTTCTCTTATGAGGAAAGGCTGAGGGATTTGGGCCTGTTCAGCCTTGAGAAGAGGCAACTGAGAGGGGACCTCATCAATGCCTGTAAGTATCTGAAGGCTGGGTGTGAAAAGGATGGAGTTGGGCTCTTCTTGGTGGTCCCAAGCAATAGGACAGTAGGCAATGGGCAGAAACTGATGCACTGCAAGTTCCACTTGAATATGAGGAGGAACTTCTTTACTGTGCGAGTGAGCATGCATTGGAACGCGTTGCCCAGAGAGGCTGTGCAGTTTCTCTCACTGGAAATACTCAAGAACTGCCTTGATGCAATTGTTGCCATGTGCTCTGGAATGACCCTGCTTGAGCAGGGAGGTTGGACCAGATTACCCACTGTGGTGCTTTCCAACCTGCCCATTCTGTGATTCTGTGGCCACCGCGCTCAGCCCTCCTGCGGGGCCCCCGCGCGGGTCACCGGCCGCGCCCCCGCCGGCACCCGAAACTCCGGCGCACCGGGAATTCGGGAAAGCTCCCGTCGCTCCCAGCCGGGGCGGTCCCGCCACTCCCGCCCGGAAGCTCCCGCCTCCCCGGGCGAAGGCCGTGGGGCCGCCGCAGGTGAGGCCGCCGGGGCGGTGCAGGTGTCGGGAGGCTGCGCCCGGTAGGCGCTCTCCGTCCGGCTCGTCCTTCTCCTCCGTCCGGCTCATCCTTCTCCTCCGTCCGGCTCGTCCTTCTCCTCCGCCCGGCTCGTCCTTCTCCTCCGCCCGGCTCGTCCCTCTGTCCCGCCCGGCGCCGGCTGCCCTTCGGACTCCGCGGCAGGTCCCTCCCGTCGGGTGAGCCGAGCGGGGCCGGGGAGCGCCCGAGGCCGCGCCGAGCGCCGGCCATGTCGCGGAGCTCGCAGGGCGGGCGGCCCGGCAGGTCCCCGCTGCCCCGCGGGGCCAGCCCCGCGTCCACCGCCGCCCCGCTGCCGCCGCCCCCGCTGCCCCTGCAGCCGCCCTTCGGCCCCGGCGGGGGCAGCCCCGGCCCCAGCGGGCCGGCCGAGCTCAAGCCGGTCCGGCGGTTCATTCCGGACTCGTGGAAGAACTTCTTCAAAGGGAGACGCCACCCCGGCTCCAGCTGGGACAGCACGGCCTCCGACATCAGGTACATCTCGGACGGGGTCGAGTGCTCGCCGCCGGCCACCCCCGCCCCTCCGCAGCCGGGGACCAAGGCGGTGCCCGGCTCCTACAGGGACCCTTACGGGGGGTCGGGAGGGAGCTACAACTCTGGGAAGGAGGCCGAGGCCATGCTGCCCTCCGGTGACCCCTTGGGCTCGCTGGAGCGCCGCGCCGGCACCGGGCGAACGTACAGCGAGCGGGTGGAGGAGTACCACCAGCGGTACGCCTACATGAAGTCCTGGGCAGGGCTGCTCAGGATCCTCGGCGTGGCCGAGCTGCTGCTGGGCGCCGCCGTCTTCGCCTGTGTCACCGCCTACGTGCACAAGGACAACGAGTGGTACAACATGTTCGGGTACTCGCAGCCCTACGGATACGGGGCTGGCAGCGCCTACGGCGGATACTCCTACAGCGGACCCAAAACGCCTTTCGTTCTGGTGGCGGCGGGAATGGCGTGGATTGTCACGATAGTGCTGCTAGTGCTGGGCATGTCCATGTACTACCGGACTATCCTCCTTGATTCCAACTGGTGGCCTCTGACCGAGTTCGGGATCAATGTGGCCTTGTTCTTTCTCTACATGTCGGCTGCCATAGTGTACGTAAACGACACCAACCGAGGTGGGCTCTGCTATTACCAGTTGTTTAAGACACCGATAAACGCATCTTTTTGCCGTGTGGAAGGAGGTCAGACTGCAGCAATCATCTTCTTGTTTGTCACGGTGATCATCTATCTAATTAGTGCAGTGGTCTCTCTAAAGTTATGGAGGCACGAAGGGGCTAGGAGGCGCAGGGAATTAATGGAACAGGAGGTAAGTCTTTAGTTACCATTTTCTGTCTACTGGGTACGGAGTGATAGGGAGCACTTGTGACGTCTTAACCGTGTAGCAGATGGAGTCATATCAGATGTCCTCTCTGCAGCAGGTCCATAGCCTTCAGGGTGAATTTTAACCAGTCTTACATTATTTGAGACTGCTAGATGAAAGACCTTTTAAGATGTCAGACCCAAGTTCTTGGACTCTTTTTTTTTTTTTTTTAATAGTTCACCCTGGCTCTGTTTTCTTTGTAATACTAGGCTCTCTTCCTGAGTCAGCTGATGAACTACTTCCTGGTGTGTATTTTCCAAACAAAGGAAGAAATTAACAATGTGCTTGTTCATCTGTTCGGCAGGGTTAGGCTTAAAGCCACCTAGCATTTATTTTAAAACTGCTTTCAGCGCATCAAGTGTTAGTGCGAATAAATGTAAGAACGCGAAATACTTTTTACTTTGCAAACGAAACTCCAAGCTACTTCTTTTCATCTTTCCTTACAATGGTTATCAAAAAATAATAGTAATAACAGAGTGGGCTAGATTTCGGTGTGTCAGATTTCCGTCAGCCTTATGTTTTTCAAGGCAAGTATTTTGCCTGACTTCAGGCCTTGCCCATACTCAAAACATTCAATACGCATCTGGTTAATGATAAACTATAGTAGCAGAGACTTACACTCTTAATTGGAGAATTCAAGTCATTTGTGTAAAACTTCCTTCATGCGAAAACACCAAAAAACCCCCACAACTTTAAAAAAAAATGATAAGACTTAATATAGCATAAAAATAAAGGCACGTGAAGCCTACATAAGCCTAACCTAAAGAGCGGTCAGCATGAAAGTGATTTTAGTAGGAGAGAGCTGCTCTGTGACTGCGTACTCTTTTGCAGCACTTCCAGCACTGCTTCCCAGTTCATCATCTTGCATAAAACTTTGGAAGAGTACATAAAAGTTTTTTAACCAACTTATAATATGTTCTGCAAGAATGAGGTGATTGCTGGAGTTACACAGAAGGCATTTGTTCTTCCCTGTAACTATCCAAGTTCTTTTATTCCAATTACTAAATATTTCTAAACACAATGCTTTTATAATAGAGGTTACAGTCGGAGAGTACTGTGCAAAACAGCTGCAGGTTGAGCTACCAGTTCGGGCTCTGTTGTGTTTTCTACACAATGAATTAAGGTGCAGAGTGTTAGTGAGTTAACGTGGGCTGGAATGTGAAATAATAAAGGAACTTGGGAAGTGAATGGAGTATTTCCTGCCAGCTGTTCCTTACAGCTATGCTCTGGGAAATCCTTCTGGGGTTTGGGTGGTTGTTTTCCTTCTACTCTTCTTAAACAGTCTTTAAATCGATGGCTCTGAAAATATTCTTATGCTAAATTTCTTCGTACCTAAATATAAATCTAATTCTCTTAACAGTATGATTTTGAAAAAGTTTAGATTTTAAGAGTCTGTGCTTTTGCATACTCTTTTTCCTGAAAATAAAATGTAGTTCTTTCCATATTTTTTTTTGATAGATGAAAACACAGTCCTCTTTTCCAGAAAAGAAGGTAGGAAATGGGAATTTATTTTTATGTTTACTGGTAATTCTATATTGTTATTCTTTTTCTTGTGACTATTTTGATTGACTTATTTATTTAGTTATTTGACTGGGAAGAGATTAGGTTTAATTCTTTAACCTAGTTTGTACATCATTCTCCTACCTAGAAGATTCGGATGAAGCTCGTAAAGGAGTTACTCCTAATAAGGCTAAGTTATAAAATAGACTGTAAATAGCAGATCCGATGGTTGCCTCTGTATGTTCTTTTACCCTCTTTTACAAGGTGACAAGTTCTGTAGCATTTATCAGTGGATTTGGCAGGTGACTAAAACAGCAGGTCAGATGTGAGGTGGGTTTTAGACTTACTTTCTTCCTGGCTGTGTGCTTCATTTACAGGAGAACCAGTGGGAAGCACAGTAGGTCCTCCTTGAGTTGAGTTTCTTCCTGTGTTTCTGAGACTGCTCCAAAGACCTTGCTGGTTTTGGAGCATCAGCAACGCTACTGCTTCTGCCACACAAAGGTGTGGTTGCATATGCTGCAAAGATTCTATAGGATCTTAACAGAACATGCTGATTCCCAGAGGAATTATGGTGTATTAATTTTAGCCTTATTTAAAATGTCTCCTGTAGACGCTGTGAATTTCCTACCATTATTTTCTCTGTTTATTCGCTACTGGATCAGGATCCTTTTCTGTGTGTTCCAACAAGACTGCACGTTTTTATTTCTGGATCAAGGGATAAATTGTGCCAATGAGTGACCTCTTCAAAGACTACAACTTCCTTGTGAGGGGAAGAGGAGGGGCAGGCACTGATCTCTTCTCTGTGGTGCCAAGTGACGGAACCGGAGGGAATGGCCTGAAGTTGTGTTTAGGTTTAGGTTTAATATTGGAAAAAGGTTTTTCACCCAGCCAGTGGTTGAGCACTGGAACAGGCTCCCCAGGGAAATAGTCACAGCACCACACCCAGCAGAGTTTGAGAAGTGTCTGGATGATACTCTCTGGCACATGGTGTGACTCTTGGGGTGGTCCTGTGCATGGCCAGGAGTTGGACTCAGTGATCCTTGTGGGTCCCTTTCAGCTTGGCATATTCTGAGATTCTGCTGATAGGAAACAAGGAGAAAAGGAAACTCCAGAGAACTGAATGATTCCTGTTCATTCAAAAATTAGATGGATATCCAAAGAAACTTCCTTAACTTGTTTTTTTAAGACAGGCAAACAAATCTTTCCAAATCCTTCTTTGGGTATTTATCTGTCACTGGTACCGCTGTTATGACAAACTGAAGAAGAATACCGTGTGACAAACATTACTGTAACTCATTACCAATTTTCTAATTACAATAAGGGTTGTAAGAAATACCTGTTATTTGCTCCTACTGCTACTAGGTGCTTGTATCCCTGTCTTCAATGAGTTGCATATTGTGTGGTTTATGTAAAACTGACTTCATTAAGAAGAAATTCTTTTTCTTTTAAAGCAGTATGAAAGTGATGACAGACCAAGAGAAGAAGTCAGTTACAGGCAGCTTAAGTCTGTGGAAAGAAAACCAGAACTACTTAATGGTCATATACCTGCAGGCCACATTCCTAAACCTATAGTGATGCCAGACTACTTAGCGTAAGTGACTTGACTTTGGTGAACCAACTTAGTGGATAATACTTGAATGATGTTTTTCACCCAGCATTTCTCATATATACACACTTGGTTTCTATGCCATGCATGTGCTGTCTGAACTCACGGTTCTTTATTAAGTTAATGTTAAAAAATAGAGAGGATGGGGGCTGGTATCAGTGGCATTCAGTGGCATAAACCAGTAATTATAAATAAAGAATCTTAATGGAAAAAACAAACCCACACACACCTCAAATGTTAAAGCAGAAAGTTATCATCTAGCAAGTACAGTAAGTGCCAAAGGAACAGAAGACCACCATACAGACATTATAGAAAAAAGTAAAATACATGGGAAATTGCCTTTTTAGCTCCTGAAGTTTGACTACTCTTGTACTTTCTAAGTGTTAAATTTGTAACATGCTGCCTTTTAGAGGGGAGATCTTTCTGTGATAAACTACGAGATCATTAAGTAATTTTTATACTATTTGCCATAGATCAGGGCACAAACTGAAACCCAGGAGGTTTCACCTGAATATTAGGGAAATATTTTTCACTGTGAAGGTCTGCACAGGTTGCCCAGAGAGAATGAGTCTCCATCCTTGGAGATATCAAAAGCCATCTGGACACAGTCCTGGTCAGCCTGGCCTAGGTGGCCCTGATTGAGCTGGAGGTTAGACCAGATGAACTGCAGATGTCTCTTGCAACTTCAGCCATTCTGTGATTTCAGTGCTTTACAGGCATGCAGATTTCAGCAGGTTGTGAGATTAGCAAGCAATACAGAAATACACTATCAAGGTGAAGGGTCCAAATGTTTGTTAAAAAGTCCTATCTCTAAAACTAGTTCTTGAAAACGTGTTTGTTTTGTTGTTTTTTTTTTAAGGAAATACCCAGTAATTCAAACAAATGAAATGAGAGACCGGTACAAAGCAGTATTCAATGATCAGTTTGCTGAGTATAAAGAACTGTCTGTGGAAGTTCATGCTGTATTGAAAAAGTTTGATGAGCTGGATGCGTTGCTGAAACAGCTTCCCCACCATCCTGAAAGCATATATGTAAGTACCTGTGAAATGGGCTCACAGAAAACAATGGTATTAGGTGGTATTATTAGGTAGTTTCTGACTGTCTTTAGCTAGGACACAGTGTTTTGTAGGGCTGGCTGTGACTTGGTGGGAGAGAAAGTTTTCCCATATATGTGACATCTTGTCTGATCGTTTGTTAAGAACACCAAGTTGAAGTTAAGACATATACCTGCTTTTCTGGGGGTTTGTTATTTGTTTGTTTCATACTAGTAGCTTTTACATTTGAGTGAATCACAGTTAATATACTTCCACTATTTCTCAAATACAAGATTTACAACTGAAATGTTACAACTATAATGAGAATTTTGCTTTTGATGAGTATTTTGTAGAATTTACATGAAGATATGGAGCATACTCAAAGTGTTTAAAAATCTGTGGTCTCTCATTAGGAACAGGAAAGGATATCAAAAGTTCTGCAAGAATACAAGAAGAAAAAAAATGTAAGTATTTTTAGATTTACACTGCTAGTGAATCTAATTAATAGCAAAGAGAGTGTAAATAGCCAACAGTTCTGACACTAGGCACAATTCACTAGCTCAGGGTATCTGTAGACACGACAGGACAATGTGTATTTTCTCTTCTAAAACTTTGGAAAAGTTAGGGCACACACCCACACACTCATGCCAACAACCTGTTTTGAGAATGATGATTCCAGTAGCCAGATGTGGAAGAAAAACCTAAACCACAAGCAAACATTTAAGTGTTTTCGTCTTCTGAGAGTATGTTTCATCTCTTAGCATTCTGCACTCAGAAGACTAGTTATTTTTTGGGATCCATTTGGGGTTCGTTTATGTTCACTGACGGACGCAGCCAACAGATAATAACAAAAAACATAATCTTACCCTAGAAAAGTAGTTTTGTATTTTTTGAGGCATGGGATTTAGGCACTCTGAAGAAGTAATTTTCAGTGTAATGCCAGAGGTTTCTCTTTGTCATTTTTAATGGTGGAGAGCAAATGTGTATCTGTGTTCCATTAAAACTGTAATACATTGCAAATACCATTTTTCTTCCTCCATGGAATTCAAAGTTTGTGTCCATATTAGTTAAACTAACTTCATAGCTTTGGGGGGGGATTTATTGCACTTACTACAACACATCTATAAAGTAGTAGGATGAGATTTATATTTGGAGATTTCTGTTTTAAAACTGCTCTGTTTACTAAGTAACTACAACATATAAAAGCAGAACATCTTTTTCTAGCCTTTCGTGAAGGAAGGGGAAGCAGGACATGAAAAATTGTGTCCAGGGGAAAAAAAATGTGATTTTGGAGACAACTTATATACTGTCCTTTGTCAAGAACATAACTGAAAATAGACTATTCTTGGAAGAATATGAAAACATAATATATTAATGTAAAGGTTTTTGTATTTTTGGCAGGATCCTGCATTTCTGGAGAAAAAGGAGCGTTGTGAATATCTAAAGAATAAGCTTTCTCACATAAAACAACGAATTCAGGACTATGATAAAGTTATGAATTGGAATGTAGAAACTTAGCTATGCCTTCATTTCATGGATGCTATTTTCTGTTTTTTAAATTGATATGCATATTTTAACCTATTTATTTACTCAGAACAGTACAGCTACGGGGATTAGTTAATCATTGTCGCTTACGAAGATCCAATTTTAAATCAATGTAATTGAAGTTATCAGATAACTTTAGAAAACCTCTTCTAACATTCTGTTTTCATTAGTGGGAATCCTGACCTCTTAAATATGAATGCTTTATTTGAAAATACTGTGTTTGCAAACCTGCAAAGCCCACCAGAGAAGGCAGTTCTAAATACCATGTGGAAATTTTGCATAGAAATGCTGTTAACAATTTCAGATTTTATTTTTAAGTGGTATTTAAATGATATCAGGAACAGCTGAGCTGTTCTTTCTGTCTGGGTTTTGATGGAGTGCTTCATCATATTGAATAATTTTGGCAATCCAGAATAAGAGTTTTTGTATTGTATTTCCAAATGCTGTACTGTGTGCCAGAAATGATGTTGAATTTCGCCCAACAAGAGATGAAAAATAATTTCCTATTTAAGCAATGTGGGGAGGGGCACTTTGGTTTGGGTTTTTTATTCCCCTCTTTAGAGATGATGCAACAAATTTATACATGGAATAGAGGTACAGGATGGGACTCACATTAATGTTCCATTAGTGTTGCTATATGTCATTAGGCTCTGCATGCCATTTCTGGGTCATGCTATGATGAGTACAGGTGTTTAAAGGCAAAACACTTTATTCTTCATGAGCAAGTAACAGGACATTTTGTCTAGGCAGCAGATGTTTGTGAACTCGGCATTCAGAGAGTTAAGCAAAATTAATTAATTCAAAGTATAAATTGTTAGTATCATTTATAAGGCCAGGTAAAACATATTAACAGACATTCTTTCCAGAGCATATCTGCATAAATTCAATATATATTTTTATATTTTCTTGGGGATATTAACATGGGGATAGGTATGTATGTGTAGATGTTTTCATAAGCCAGTAAAATTTGTATCCTTTTTCACATCTTTGTTAATTATTTTTACTTACTAAAATTGTTAAAAGCATTGATAGTTTCTTTGTACAGTTTTTTACAACCTCAATTTGTCTGTTCTGAAATATATTTTAATATAAAAACCACAGCCATATTACTCTATTGCTTATATAGGCATTTTGTTAGAAAAAACTGTTCCGATTAAGGTTATTGCAAATTTTTGTTAGTGATCATTTTTTCTTTAAAAGAAAGTTTTTAACTTTTGCCTTAATTTAAAGGAAAGACATCAGGAAAGCCGTTTCCAGTTCAGAATGGTCATGGTAGTACTACCTCCGTCCTTCACTTCTGTTAACATACCTCACTCTGACAGTTAAACCCCTTCTGACTTTTCAGCCCTTATCATTCACACTGCAATCCTGATGGCCGCACACCCACTTTCATATTTATAAAGTTGACATTCCACTTTTATCAGCCACTTAATTCCAAGAGTTTTAGTGGATGAAGTAAATAGCACAAAACACTATGGGAACACTGAGAGAATTTGAAAACTTGGCACCTCTTCATTTAAAAACCTTCAGTCCCATCTACCTCGAAGGTGCTTCAACATTTTCATCAGTCTGAAATCAGATGACAGCCTTGTTCTCCCTCTCTATTCAGATGCCACTCTCTCTGGTTCTGGTTTGTATTAATTTCAAACAGGAAATCTCTCTACTTTATAAAGGAGATGGGCCAAATGTTTATACCTGTTGCGCTTTATACTTGTTAAACTCTTCTTTGTAAGAGAAATACTTGTCCAAATCCCCAAAATCTAAATAAATGACCTCTCACTTTGCATCCAGTTTTCTCTTTTTTTTCTCAGTGAGAGTTGTGGGCATGGCATCAGTTATAGGAGAAGATGAACGCAACTTGAAGGTTCAACTGGTGTTCATAAAGTGCTAGAAATAAGCTGACTGATTCTTTGAAAGATTCACAGTCTGCACCCTTAATAGGTCTTCTTTCCATAGGACACTGACATCCAGCCCCAGGCTCTCTTTGACAGTGGTCTTGAGCTTCAGTCTTTGAGGAACTGGCTCCTGGTCTCTCAGACAGTGTCTCCATAACCTGTGAAGAACTATTGTGCTTACCCTTTACTGCAAGGTTTCCAACAAAGGAGCTGGGAAAATGGAACAGTATGCCTGTGGCTGGAACAGGCAAATAAACCAAGTGGAGACAGCTCTATGTGGATAGCTATGTTACTGGGTGTGGTCCATGTTTCCTAGAAAGATGCCACCCTTGTGGCCAAGGGGGTTTTCCAAAAGTTGGAGAGAGAAGCTGGGGAGAGAAATGTTCGTTTCTGACTGCTTTTTGGGTTCCAAACAGGATTAGTGCAGTGCATGGCAGTGGGCTTGCTTAGCATGGAGCCTCATGAGAAGGCATTTACTTCAGTACTGGACTTCCCAAGTTACCATCCCAAGGCATGCAGGGCATCCTTAGGTTGCAGCAGGGCAACATGTTGCAACCATTGCAGTAAGTTACTTGCCTAGTCCTGTATCTCTTGGGGCCTCAGGACTGTTAAGGCACTTTTGGTGCATACAATCAGCTGGTTTTGCTCTAACCTATCAACGGAGGACTGAAAAAGGTCTGTCTTGTGATGCCTCAGAGCTTTTAGGATTTTTTTAGCTTTTTGTAGTATATAGAAGTAGTTGTGTAGTAAATGTAGATTTTAATGTAGCTTACCCTTTAACATCGTAGTTTACAAATACCCAACCTTACTACCCCATTTCATATCAAATCCTCTAAATTCCTTTAGCATGTTTAGTTTTCTTTTCAAGGTAGGATTGTAGAAAACACCTCTTTTTAAGAACATTGCACCCTAGGCCTGAACAATGAGATACCACAACAGACAAAGTGACCTTCAAGCCCAGGACTTTGGAGGAGCTCCAAGGACTGTACTGCTGTGAAGATGAAGACGAGGAAGAAGGGGTCCCAAAGACCCCAGACCCAGTTCCCGAAGGGATGTGTCAGGGGCAGAACTGGGCAGAACCGAGGGGGTGGATAAATCTGGGATTGGATGGACCTTATTATAAAACCATAGAACCATTGCCTGTGTGCGAGTGTGTCGCATGTATTCCCCTGGGCCTGAGAGCCTGATTAAACGACCTGCTCTTTTATCATATATACTAAATTGGCCTGGAGTTTTTTTCTCTGTGGTCTCTCAGCCCATCAGTTGTCAACAGTGCTCTGAACGTGCCAAAGAAGAATTATTAGTTTAAGAAACATTTTCATCTATAGAAGAAATTGAGATTAACAAAATAAGAATAAATGGCTGGGAGTTGAAGCAAGTCGGATCAAGACAAAAATTAAGAGGGAATTGAAAATTAGTTACCATCAGAGCTATCAGGGCAAGTAGTCTCTTGATATCCTGAAAGAATAGAAGGTATACTCCAGACAAAACTGAAGTTATTAAATGATTATCACCTCAGTCTCTTCATGCAGAGTCTCTGGGCTCAACTCTGTGAATCTACATTTTTGCATGTACATGTTAACAGTCTGTGTGGTCTTACTCGTGTGACGGGATTTTTGCAGAAGGTGTAGTTAACATGTATTTGAATCTTACCAAGTAATACTGTCCTACATCCACGGGCATGTAGTGTCTGCTTCCAATTACAGCCTGTCGTCAGACCCTGTGTATAACAAGAAGTTTTATCCTTCTTAGAAAACGCTCTCCTGTCTCCACAGATCTACAAAGGAAATTACCCAAGAAACTTAGTTTCTAGGAATAAATTTAATAGTTTCCAAACTGGACCTTTTTTTGTTCTTTTTTTGTCTTTGAAAACAGTTGGATATCCTTGATCAAGGTAAGTGTGGCAACATCTGCATACTTTTTACTGAACTGTACATTTTTTCAGGCCCGATAAAGCAATGTACCCAAAAGTTTGGATAGCATAATAGGTGGACCAGCTTCCATGACAGCATACTCACAGCAATGAAAAACTTAATTGATTTGAAATTGTAAGAGAAGGTAACCAGTATTTAGTTTGTTAATCTCAAAATTGTGATGGAATTTCAAGCACTTGGACAATTATAATCTACAAAATTATTGTATTCCAGTCAAGTATTGAAATTCTTGGCCTTGACAATAAAAAATATCGCTGTTCTGAAAGAAGTCTCGTTTTTCTCCTATAAAATTGTCAGCTTGCAGCCATTTTCCCTTTCAATGTTTTATAAATTGGACTTTTTCGTCCTAAAGAAAGGATGGCATGTGTTCTAATGGGAATAGATCAAAGTACAGATATTTCAGTTCCAAGAAGCAAATCTTGGCTTCTCAAACTAAAGAATCCCCCTTTTTCCTATCTTCAGTGGATTGCTTTCCTTAAAAAAATTGTGAATTTTCCCCAGGTATGGTTTAATTGAAAGCAAGTTAATTTCACTTCTCTTTCCCTTATAAATTGCTCCCGATAAGCGCAACAGGCTTAAGGGTACAGCAGAAACGGCAAGTTTTTCCCTGCTCCTGTTTCAGGAAGTGTTACCACTGTTTACACGTTTTCTTCCTCATTTATTGTCTTACTTGGATGCAGAATGACGCACCCCTCTCCCCCTTAGGAACGGATGCTCAGCACCTTTCCTGTAATTGAAGAGGTGAAACCCAGTCTTGGCACACTTCCACTGTATCCCTGGAGTTTGGGTTGCTCTGCAGAGCAGTCAGTGCTTAGCTCAGCTGGCTCTGACCTAATCCTTACTGCGATGCTTACGAAATGGAAACTCTCGGTGACATCAGATGGATGCTCAGAATTATTTCAGGTAGATGCAAAACATAAACACGTAACATCAAAATACCTGAAACTGTTTGCTTTCGCTACCAGGGCGGTAGACAGCTGCTTTAAGTAACTGGCCTATGAGCATAACCGTGTTAAAATTCAGTGCTACAGCGTGGCCTTTCCAGGCTCTTGGGTCCTCCTGTTAATTACTAGAATTGTTTCAGTTAATTACAGAAACACAGGTAAACCCAGACGGTGCCGTGACTCCGAGAGATGAGCGAGGGGGCACCTCACAGAAACGCCACCACCGGGGCCTGGCGCCCGCACGAGCGATGTCTCCATGAGGCGTTTTCCTTACGCCCTCACCCTCCCCACGACTTACGGGGAGCACTTTGGAGGCG